AAGGTTCTCCCACTGGCTTCAGGTCTTTCCTGATAGGCTGGCATCACTAGGTTGTCATCTACCATTGGCCACATCCAGATGCTACATGTTTGGGGTGAATAATTTCGGAAGCAAACAGAACTGTTTCCACACAAGGAGCTGTTGAGGCTGAGTTTGACTATGAGCAGTGACCACCCCGCAGCTTGGGGGTTTGAGGCTCCCCTGCCCAGTATCCCATAGCTGCAGAGGGCAGTGACCACTGTTCCAAGAATTCGTTGGGTTTGAAATTCATTGCCCCATTTGCTTGCAGCAGCTACATCGGTAGCTTATTTAGGTAGCCTGCGTGACCCTGAGCTTCCTGAGAAGAGACAAGAATAATAATGAATTGAGGAGAATCACTCTTGGGACTCATGCAAAGCAGGTAATCAAACGCCACCCGCGCTGCATAAAGCAGCGATTTGAGGGAATTATCTGGACATCTTACAGTGGACTAAAACACACGGTTTTGAGTACTTTTCTGTACATCTACCTACTTGCCAACACACCCAACTAGAATACTCATCGTAGGACGTGTTCTTTATCCAGTACCATTAGGAGGCTGTTATGGATGCAGGTTCAGGCAGAGCCCTTTTAAATATCTGCCAGCCCTCTTCAATGGAAGACAAAATTGCAGCTCACGGAGGTGAACTAACTTGCTGAGGATGGAACCTTGCTCTGCTGAGGCCTTTCAGAAGTCTTCCTCAGCAGATGAGATGAATGAATGGCTCTCCTAGGAAGAATCATCTGGAAGTGGCTGGAAGTGGCCATCAGTGGCCATGGCCAGTGACAGAGAAATTCTTATGCAGAGCAAGAACTGCTGGGAAGAGCTTTCCTGGCAAACCCAGTCATGGACAGAAGTCCCATTACAAAGGTCGTACATTAAATACATGAAGTGTCTCAAATAACGTAGGTGACCAAGGGCCACCAGCCAGATGTAGGGAGCTGGCCCATGGCCCCTTGTGCAGATGCAGGGAGCTGGCCCATGGACCCTGTGCCAGATGCAGGGAGCTGGCCCATGGCCCCTTGTGCCTAGGTCAAGACTGGAGTCCCACGTAGAAATTTGGGGAAAAGCTTTGGCACAGTCAGGGGTTCCACGGTGCCCAACCCCCTAGGAGTCTTTGGTTTTCACACAGCACCCAATAACTGTACGTATTTAATGGGTGTGCTGTGATAATTCAGTGCATGTGTACACATGTAACAAGTCAGGATAACCAGCATTTCCACCCCCTTAATCATCTGTCCTTTCTTTGTGTTGGGAACTTTCTCTGTAGAACCCGTAATAAATCGCTGTTGTTGGAAGCTCTGTTGCTCTGCTGTGCTGGGGGTCACTAGGACTTTTCCGTGTAACTTTCTGTGTCTGTCACCTGGCCTCGCTCTAGAACCTGCTCTCCTGGCGACCACTGTTCCACTCACTCTGCATGCATGGACTCAGCATGTTTCCTGGCGTCCATGTATGAGTGAGAACATGTGGCGTTTGTCTTCTGCACCTGACCTGCTTGCTTAACAGAACGCCCCCCATGCCTCCCACTGCATTTGATAGGACGCCAGTCTCCTGTGTGACTGAGCAGTATTTCCTCACCCGGACGAAATACTAATGCAGGAAGAGATTCTACAGGGCCCCTCTCCGCTTTACTGGGGGTGACAGGTGGGAGGGAATGGACTGTCCTCAGCTCCTGAGTGGTCCCCACAGTCCGTGACTTGTGGGCTCCAGGGCATTTTCTAGGGAGAACCCCCTGGATATTTTGGTCACAATTCTTTGTCCTGCCAGATCATGACTATGCAGTAGTCTGCACAGAGTGCATTTTCCTAGGCCGTACGCTGACATGCAACTGAAATAACAGCTCCCACCTCGATCGAGGACACGAAGCAAAGCCTGGCGCCTTCCCCCTGCAGCCTGTCTCAGGGGCCTGCCTGGCGCTCTGAGGAGTTAGCATTTCCAGGCTTTGTGAGTTCAGTGAAATTGGCCACATTATGGAAATCAGCAGAGGTGACCTAGCACCGTGCTGAGTCCGTAGTTGAGGTCAGCGCTGGCTGTGTCCCTCTCCCTGGGACTCGGCGTTGCACCCAGAGCCTGGGCACAGAAGTGAAGCTTGCGCCACTGCTTCTCCGCCTGTCTGTCTCAGAGGCTGTGCCCTCTCCTATATGGAAATGAGAGGTGGGGGAATTCAAGACTCAGCCAAATGAGTGACCTTGGCATTGAGCCAGAGGGGGCACCATCGAGGTGGCCTTGGAGTGTGAAACCAGCTGATGGTCATCTGAGTCCGGAGGCTCAGAAAGGAGGTGGAAGACAGCTGTGGGAGCAGAGGTGGGAGTTCACCCCAGTACTGACCTCTCCTACCAGGAGTTTGGCCTGTGTGGGCAGCAGCTGAGCTAGGGATTGATTTTAAATTAATGCAGCTGTTTGCATTGAAGGTGCCCACGTCCTCATGTGGGGAGGAGGCAGGCATTGGTGCACGTGTCAAGGATCCTGGAGTGATGGACTTTTCGTGATGGTACAAATTTTCTGTGTCTTTGCTGTCCTTTCTGTGTGGTTGATGGGACTGAGGAACTGATTTCCAATGATACATCACTGGTTAGGTGGAGTTTGACTTCCATGGCCACACAGTGGCTTGCAGCCACTGCACTGGACAGAGAGTCCATGGCTTCCAGGAACAGTGCCAGAGGAAGCCTGTGTGCTATGAATGTGGGGGCTCCTTTCCTCATGCTGGGCTCACACGTGGGCCAGTAAGAGTGCCCCAAGCCCTCTCCCCCAACATCACTGCCCCCCGAACACTGCCCAAAGACACGCCTGCCACATCGGCAGATGCACCCAGCCCCACGTGTCCTCCTCAGGCCCCGCTGCAGGAGGGGCCACAATCTCCAACTTACAGGGGAAGAAACCAGGCACAGCGACTAACAGCCCTCGCCAGAATCATCAGAGCCAGAATGTCCACCCAGTCCTATCTTCTGACCCCAGACACCTTGCTGGACAGAGCCTCCAGGAACCGAGAGGACCTCATGTCTAACAGTTTCCAAGGAGCCTGTGCATCTCCCGGGGTTTTCCTTTCCCGGAGGGGGGGGGGGCGGGGGCTCAGGTTTTTGGCAGGTGGGGCTTTGCATGCACATTTGATTTATCCTGTGTGGAGATCACGTCCCAAGCCATGATGCTGGTGTCCTGCTCCTTTGCTGTCTGGTCTAAGTCGCTACAGCTACGTCAAAGTCAGTGATTGGGGCCGTTTGGGCTTTTATGTTTTCTGTGGGAATGCGGTCTATGGACCAACAGATCCTCGCCTCCCTCCTCACCCCCGTGTTTAGCTTTTGGAGATGTACAGACTCAGTATGAGTGGCTGAAATGGGATGCAAATGAGGCTGTAAATCAAGACTGAACAAGGCGTTCTGATAACATCGTGGTGTCAGGTCATCTGCTGCTCTGTTAGATGAGTTTGCCTTTGCCCGGCCATGCCGATGTCCTCACGGTAACGGCATGGACGTCGAACACTGCTGGGTGCATCGCAGGTGGGGTGGTGCAAGGATTCACTCCTCAATTGCAGTCTGACGCCATGGGCAGGGCCTGCACCAGGCTGCTCGCCTGCCCTCCTGGACTGGAAAAGAGAGGACCTTGCTTGCAGTAAGCAGACACTGTCTAACTCCCCACAGCAGTCCTCCCGGGAGACACTGTGCCTGCTGTGGGTTCCTGCCTTGTTTCATCTGGCTGCCAGCTCCCTTAACCTGGGGCCCCAGGTGCACAGAGAGCAGGGAGCGGGTCACACGGGGCATGGATCTAACCTCCAGAACACAGGCAGATGGGACTGCAGATACTTCCCTGGGGGATTGGGGAGGGGGAAGCCTTAGCAGTCCCAGTGAGCCCCGAGCACTGCTGGGACAACCATGGGCACACAGAGTAGCACTGGTTATCTCCAACAACCCAGCCAGGGGAAGCCCCAGCACTAAGGGTCTAGCTTTAGGTCATTTGTTTTTTTTTTTGTTTTTTTTTTTGTTTTGTTTTTTGACAGGCAGAGTGGACAGTGAGAGAGAGAGAGAAAGGTCTTCCTTTGCCGTTGGTTCACCCTCCAATGGCCGCCGCTGCAGCCGGCGCACCGCGCTGATCCGATGGCAGGAGCCAGGATCCAGGTGCTTTTTTTTCCTGGTCTCCCATGGGGTGCAGGGCCCAAGCACCTGAGCCATCCTCCACTGCACTCCCTGGCCATAGCAGAGAGCTGGCCTGGAAGAGGGGCAACCGGGACAGAATCCGGCGCCCCAACCGGGACTAGAACCCGGTGTGCCGGCGCCGCAAGGTGGAGGATTAGCCTATTGAGCCACGGCGCCGGCCTAGGTCATTTGTTTTTAAAGTTGCTGCTACAGGCTTTCAACTTCAAAACATGGCAACGTCCATTAAGCTCTTATCACCACTACACAATATTGACTAAGATCTTGGCGTCTTTCTGTCTTTAGCCCAACAGGGCATGTAGGGTAAGGCATCTATCTCTCAGTTGTACACAGACAAGCCTTCTTGAAGTTCCAGGTAAGCAATGAGAGACATACTATCTAGTAGATAAAATCATGTGCAGTCTGAATGTGCATGCCAGTGCTTGCACTGTCCATGTGTATTACTACGTCCAGTCAGCACTGGCTCTTCCCAGTGCCATCAGAAATATGTGTCTTCCTCCCTGATGTGACTTCTCCAAGAGGCAAATAGCTTCCAGTTTAGATGAGCTGTTTTGTATGGGTGTGTGCATCATACATGATCACAATAAAAACCTTTCGTCCTAGTAGATTAAAAGGAAAGGGCCATGCATTCATTCAAAATATGGGTCTGGTTTGAACTCAAGACAGACAGATGCTAACCAGCAGGTGCATCCCACAGGTGGACTTGCCAGGCCTTGAGCTATGGGCTGGCCACTGCAGCACTGGCTTCAGGCTCAGCGCCGGCTGGGGCTTAGGGGTGCACGTGCCCCCAGGGTGCGCATGCAGAGCCGCGTTGAGAGACAGAGGAGCATACATACCCTTCCCGGTGGGCCTCTCCTTTTTCCAGCTCCTGAATGACCCCCAAGAGCACTTTGATGGTTTCCTGGCTGGAACTGATCAAGTTCTCCATCACGTGAAGCTGTGCTTTGAGGTCCACCACTTCCGTATGAGGCACGATTTGTTGGCATTCCTGCCCCGCAGCCGCTGCCGTCGGACTGGGAGGGCTGTCCGGCCCCGGGAGGTGCCGCTCGCGGCACCTGGGGGACAGGCACTGCGCTGGGGGTGAGCAGGCCGCCGCAGAGTCCGCAGGCGCCTGGAGCCCGTTGAGCTGCGTGGCTCTCCCGCGCTCCTCCTCAGCTGGGCACAGGGACCACTGGCTGGCGGCGGCAGAGTCCCACAAGCCTGGCTCGGCCGCACTGGCGCCCGGGGCCGGCGCATACGTGGTGGTGACCTCCGTTTTAAGCTCCGCGCTGGGGGCGGGCGGCTCAGGCTCCCCTGCAGCCAGAGGCCCCGGGGAGTTCTGGAGTGGAGTTTCAGGAGAGCTGAGCGGGTCGGGGCTGGTGCAGGGCTCCGCGCAGTTGACCGCGGGAGGCCGGTCCAGCTCGTTCATGTGCTCGCTAGAGCGGAAGACCAGGGCTGTGGTCTTGTGAATGCGCCCCGCGCCGCACGGCCGGGCCACCTCCGCCTCGCCCTTGCCAAGGGCCTCCGAGGGGAGCAGCCCATCATTCTGGCCTGGCAAGGGCTCTGTGGCCGGGATGCCACGGGGGGCCCCGCGCTTGCGGTCCAGGGGGAAGGTCTGGTAGCACTTGCGGAGGTCAGGCGAGGTCTGCACGCCAGTGCTCCTGGTGACGTTGGGGATGGAGCGACGCGCGGGCACCGTCAGGTACTTGCGGTAGGCAGCCCTGCAGGACGCGGGCCTGGCCTCGCGCCTTTCCACAGGCAGGCCCGAGGGCGGCGGCTGCGCATCACGTTGCTCGTTCTGTGCCTCGCAGATGTCCTTGAAGCGCACCTGCAAGGCCTTGTTCCGTTTCTTGACCTGGCGGTTGGGGTCCAGCGCGTACTTCATCTCCAGGGCCAGGCAGGCGGCCGGCTCCACTTCGCTCTCGGGCGGCGGCGTGAGTGTGCATCTGCCGCTGTCCTTGCTGACCATGGTGCCTGCAGGCGGAAAGAGCCACAGAGCGGTTAGCGGGATCGGGACCCCGCCTCCCGGAAGGGTTGTGGACAGGTGAGGGCGGCCCTGGGCAGGAGAAGCGGGCGGGGCCTCCCTGGCGCGAAGGCGTGCGGCTGCACCCGCATAGTAAGGTGCATCGCCCTGGCTGCGCCCCTGGAGAAGCCTCTGCCTCCACCAGCACCAGGTGTGTTTCATTTCCACGCGCTCGCCCTCCGACCTACACCCGCGAGAAGCTGCTGCCTCCGCCTGCATATCGCATTTCCACCCGCCACGCGCGCCCCGGAGGCACTCCCTTGCACAGCTCACAGGCAGCTGGCTTCCCACATGCAGCTTCTTCCGTTTGGGTTGGACTATTTTGGGGGGCTGACGCGGTTAGTCTACTACTGAGGTCTAGGAGAGATGCTGTTTTTAGAATCCCTGAAGGTTCCAGGTCCCTCGCAGGTCACTGTGGAGCGCCCACGTGGGCGGCTGACAGCAGTATGGATGCCTTAGCCATCCTGGCTCCCAGGGAGAACCCCCTTACGGAAACGCGAAAGGAAAAGTCAGTTTGCTTCTCATGAGTAACTCCAGCCACAGATGGAACTTGGGTTTCCCTGCATCTACAGAGCAGAACCCTTTTCTGATTCCACGGAGAGAAAAAAAAAAGAAAATATTCTAGAATCAAGTTTTGTGTTTTGATCACAACCTCTGAAAATGGAAACAATGGCGGTTGTTCCAGTACTCACATGCTGAAAGGAAATACAATCAGGAGGCTTTATGTTAATCATGCAGATGCATCCTGGGCTGAATTATTAAATGCAGCTAAAAAGATGCAGGTGGCCAGCGACTCCTCTCGGGGAGTACCAGGGTAAAATGCCTTCACATTATTAGGCAGATTCACAGCTGTTTATTTCACACGGAAGAACTTTCTTCAGGGTTGAACTTAAAGTGGGAAAATTCAGTTTAGTGTTTATGAATCGGAATCCAGTTTCCTGCCCCTGTGTCTGAGAACAGTGAGATGGGAGGAAGCAGGCATGTGCAGGGCGCTGGCAGCCGCAGCCGAGAGTCCAGAGAGGCGGGTCACAGACACGAGTGGCCAGTGTGGCACCAGGACAGGCCCCGCCTTCCTGTCCAGCCCAGCTGTGGAGAGACTGTGTGCTCTGTCCTGAAGGACCCTGAGAAGCCAGCCAGCACCCGCAGCAGCACTTGGGAAATGCCACAGGAACCGTGACACTGGTGGTGCGGTGGCTGTTTAGGGGGTCAGGGGTCCACGAGCCAGTGGCTCTCTAGTCTGTGTATAGAATAACCTCCTCTTAAAAAAAAACACCAAAGGTCAGGGCCGCGTTTCCCATTTCAAGGAGGACAGTGGGATTCAGAGAGGTCACAGGTCACATCACTTGTTCCACATCACACAGCAAGTGAGAAGCGTGTGCCGGAGCAAAGTCCTGACCCACTAGTTTCCAGCATGCATGCTGTTTCTGAAAGATCAGGGTGCCCAGCATCAGAGGCATGAGCCCCCCTCTGTCCTTAGCCCTGACTGAGTCAGCATGGCAGGCCGCGCCCACGCTGGGTCTAGGAGGGGCGGGAGAGAGAAGACCTCAGTGCCGCTCCCTGGGACTCACCCTCTGCAGCCTGGGACCTCTGCTTAGTTGTCTGTTCCTCTCAGGCCAGCACGGTATTTGCTGCAGTATTTGCTGGATGACAAGCTTTGAGGAAAGTCAAGTTCTTCATACGTTATGCCGTGAACAACTAACTGCTAATCATGTTTGAGGACGACAGAAAAATAATCCCACGCAGCATTTGATTTAGATGAGACCAGGGTTTCTCAACCGCGGCTCCACTGGTAATTTTAGGCCGGATAATTCCTTGTCAGAGGCGCACTGGTGTGCACTGTGGAATGTTGAGCAGCTGTAGCTATGGCTGCTACCCACCAGCGAGAGGTGGCACTCCCCTTCCGGCGTGGAGACTGCCCACCCACACCGATGTCTCCAGACTCGGCCGCTTGACCCCCTCTGCGTTAGTTCTTTCATCCCCAGGTCCCTGAAGCCCTGTTCCCTTCTCCCAGGGTGTCCTGAAGAGCATGGCTTGCTGACAAGGCCAAGGGGAGGGGTCCTTTGCTGGGGGTATTAGGAGACCTCCCTAACTTGAAACTCACCCAGCTGGGTAGGAAGAGGCCTGCTCTGATTGGGGGAGGGGGGGATTCCTGTGGTGGGCGGGGCTTGCTTAGGACAGAATAGGTTTCTCTTAGAGAAGCTCTCTGAACAGGTTAAAAAGGCCTGGTGGGGGGTGGGGGCAGGGGGGCAGCGATGGGGGCATAGTAAGAAAATTAAATCTTAACCCTCATTCTTATCTCGCACTCATTTCTTTAGCTGCCTTTGTTGTCCAGGTATGTCAGGATGTATTGTGCCAGCACTCTGTAGAAGACCTTCATACTAGGGAAAATTTGAAAGAGAGAGCATTTTTACAAAAAGCAATTTACTAGTAATTTTTCAGCCTTTTCCCTGCCACTACTGAAAAATGTGTGTCTGAATAAGTTTGTCCTCCAATGCTATTCATCATCACGATTGGCCAAGAACTGAAATAATTTTCTTACATCAGTCTGCTGGCTTGGAAAGATATTTGGAGTCTTGGTCCCAGCCATCCAACTAATAAAACAAATCACAAGAATTAATTGCTGATGGCAAAATCATCATACTAAAAAATTCTGAGCTCCTCTGTGTCTTACAGAGCTGCTAAGTATATAAAGATCATTTCCTTCTTAGTGAAAACGATGGTAGAACTGAAGACTTTTAATCGGTTCAGCTTTTTATTTGTTTAAGTAGTGGCAATGGAGTTGTCTTGATTCCACCGAAGGGGAAGACACCAACGGATGTTTGCGGTTGATTTACTTTGGCTTCCAGTGAGGTTGGGAGTTCTTTTTGATAGCTAGATAATATGGTCTGAAGCTCTGAAATGGAATTTTCCTGGACATTAAGCATCACCAAGGTGGTCCTATCTTTCCAGGGTGTTCATCTGCAATGGATTGATCAGGCTCATAGTTAAGAAGCTGACTTTGTCATGACAGTAAGCAGGCATTCTGCAGAACACTGCCCACGAGGGGACGGGAGCCTTCTCAGGCACAGCCCATGGCTCCTTCCTTCAGCCGAGGTACATACAGAGGTCCCATGGTCTCTTACCATTCAGCTCCTGGGCTGTGTGCTCCTGTGTCCTCCCAGACGTCAGCTCTCCCTCCCGAGAGCCTTCCAGAGGAGGCGCTATTGTTATCCTAAACCACTACCCTGCTCTGGCAGACCTGCAGCTGGAAGGGACCCTGATGGGCTTCAGAAAGCAGCAAAAAACGGAAACCCAACTGAGCCATCTCGTGAGCCTGTTCCCACCCAGTACCTGGGTGCAGGTCAGTGGGGACCTCCAGGTGAGTCTAGGAACAGGCCTGGCCCTGGAGTGCAGACAGGAGTGGGGGCTGCCTCAGGTTGCACTGCACACGCGGCATCGGCAGCAGTGGTTTGTGCTTTGCTGTGTCCCCCAAGACCCATGCACTCTGGCCTGGAGCTCCCCATCTCTAAAGCAGGACTTGTTTATTTTTTCTATGAAAACTGTGTTTTTGGAATTCACTGGACAGTGCTCTGTTGGGATAAAAATGGCTAGTCATGGTTGTGCCTGTCTGGCTGAGGGGGAGCTGCGGGTCCAGGAGCTGTTTGGAATATAAATGTCTTAATTACCCACAAATCAAACTCCATAATCAAAGGCAAGGTGCAAATGTATAAACCTCGTATGCTTAGAGGAGTGAGTTTCATCCTTTCTCTATGTAACTTTACATGAACAGCTTATATAAAATGTTCATTCCAATGCAAAGGAGCCAAACACTGAAGCGATTAAATGCCTGATGATAGTGGAATGGCTTGGTAGTTTACAGTGTGCACTCACTCACTGTGGCCGTGCACACGGAGCTGGGGAGGACTTCCAGTGTCACAGGGAAGCACTTGGGAAGAAACGTCTGGTGAAAGACAGCCGTCCACCCAACTGCATAGGAGGTCGTCACTGCCGCCCTAAGATAGGGCATTGGGGGAGATTCTTTGTCCTGTGTTTTCCAATTTGGGGGCCTGAGGGGTGGAGAGGGACAGGAAATGTTGCTACATTGTTTTGCCAATTAAAAAAATCCTGGAGCAGGAGCAGCCCCTGCTGTGAGCAGGTTTCTGGAAAGTATAAACCCTTGTATCAGGGCAAGAGAACCTCAGGAATGATTAGCTCTGGTACAGATAGACTCCCAAAGGTCATCTCTTACTGTTTTGAGGACGCCATGAATAAGGAGCGAAATGAGTTTCAAAATAATGACGGTCTGTATGTGTGTGTAGAGGCATGGCTAGGTATAGGCTGCTGCATGTGGACGTCGCGCATAGATGCATGTAGATGGGAAGACAGAGAGTGGTTAGTAGCTGATAAGTCACTGGTAGGAAGGGTGCTGGCATCCATTTTAATTACAAATAAGTTGGACTTGACCTGTTATGTACATTTACAAGTCTACTTCAAAAAGTTCATGGGAAATGGATTAAAAGACAAATTTATTTTGGTGCAAAAAAATGAAATACGTGTATATAGGGAGTGTTTAAAGGTTCATGAAAAATGCATGTTATGAAAACCTGTGTGAGGATTTAAAAAAAAATTTGCACCAAAATAAACATACTTTTAAATTCCATTTTCTTTTTTTTTTTTTTAAGATTATTTATTTATTTATTTATTTGACAGGTAGTTACAGAGAGTGAGAGAGAGAAAGATCTTCCTTGCGTTGGTTCACTCCCCTAATGGCTGCTACGGCCGGTGTTGCGCTGATCCGAAGTCAGGAGCCAGGTGCTTCCTCCTGGTCTCCCATGCAGGTGCAGGGGCCCAAGGACCTGGGCCATCCACCACTGCCCTCCCAGGCCACAGCAGAGAGCTGGACTGGAAGAAGAGCAAGGGACTAGAACCCGGTGCCCATATGGGATGCCCAGCGCCGCAGGCGGAGTATTAA